AAAAAAAAAAAAAAAAAAGAAGTGAGTGTTTAGCTGGAGTGAGGAGGAAATACTGAATTCCCAGGTCAGGAATTCCAGTTCCATTTTCACCAGGCACAGATATCCCAGCTCCTGAAAAAGGCCAAGACTCACGGTCTGGCACTGGGCAGGTGTAAGAAAGGACTGTTTTAAGAACCTTATTACACAAAGCTCTTACTTCTGGATCCACCACTGCTTACATTTGCACCCGGACACCACTTTGAGGTGCAAGAAGAAAGGTCAGGACATAGAGGAAAATGCACACAGAACGATGAGAGAGGATGATGAGGGAGCAAGCCTGCATCAGAGCACGGCTGATGTCTCGGAAGCCACCAAAGGCACCCACCAGAGCCTTCCCCACCTGCCAAGCCCCTGCAGCACCCGGAGGGGAAGCCGGCTTCCTGAGGCCATGCGGAGTCCAGGGCAGAGGGGACAGTGGGAGGGGCTGCCTGTGGCAGTGGCTGTTCATATCAACAGCACTCAGCCGAGGCAGTGAGGATGAGGACGAGAGCCGGGGCAGCTGACTGGGCCCAGGATACAGCTCACAGGAGGGGCGTCTGCACACACCTTGCAACTGCAAGGCTTCTTCTCAAAGGTAAGTACACTTGGACAAACCAACACGAGGCTACTTACACAGGGTGAGAGAGTTCATAAATATTAATTAAGGATCTAAAACAAACTTCTTTCTCAAATAATTGAAATCTGAAAGCTTTTGGAAGCCAACTGTCCCTGAACAAAGTTTTACAATCGAGAAGTATCTCCTGTTCCTATTTTGTCAAGTTTCTTTGATGGCCGAACAAAAAGAAGCTTCAAGTAATGGAGAAGGCATCATCTGAGTGCAGCTGCTTTCCTGGCTGCCTGTGCCGTTCCTGTCTTCCAAACCCTATGCTTGGAGGCCCCCGGAGGGACATTTTTGCCAGGAACCAACCTGACGTTAAAAAGATGAGTGTGACACAGCTGGCTGGGCAGGAGGGTGGAGGTGGCCACAGGAGTCTGTCCATGCCCTGGCCAGCCCGACCATGCTGCCGAGTGCTGAGAGGCCGCCCCACCCAGAGGGCACAGGGCAAACCCTAAGCACTTGAGAGTTTTGCCCGTGAAGCCTCAGGGGATGCCCTGTGCCACATCCTTGTGCCTCGTTGACCAGCCTGCTTGCTAAAGGAGCCCAGGGACCTGAGCCTGCAACACCGTGAGGGGTGAGAAGAGCATGCTGCTGTGGGTGCACCGGATTCAAACCTCACATCAGAAGTTACAAAGAACCCCAAATGCGCTTCAGAGTTCCGCCAACCCCTGAGCCAGGCTCATCCCTGACACAGCGAACCCACTGCAGCCCCCGTGGCGCACACCCCAAGCACCACCCAAGGGAGCCCCATGGCCAGGGCTGTGTCAGTCATGCCGCTTGGGGCAGAGACGGCTCTTGGGGCAGGCAGACCGGTGTGGGAAAACTGTACACCAATCAACTGCTTAAAGAATTGGGGAAAATAGAAAGTCAAGAAAGGGCTCCGATACACAAGGGAAACCGCATGTGAGAATCGGCACTCCCAGCAGGGAGATGTCACTCTCCAGAGGCCATGGAGATGGCAGACACCTCTGTCTCCACAGTGACCCAGATCCAACTGAAAGTGTGCAGGAAGCCACGTCTATTGACGCTGAAATCCAGAAACCAAGGTCCACAGGTGAATGGAGGCATCTTCAGCCCTGAGGAGGCCAGGCTGTGTCTCCTGATGCCTCTGAGGGTGGGCACAGCAGCCAGCTCCCTGTGGGCAGAGTCCACGTGGTCCTTATTCCCCTCCCTGGGGACAGGGCAGCACAGTCAGACGCTGAGATGTGAGGCCACACGCAGGGGGACACCTTCCTGCCTTGGCCTAGCCCGACCGCCTCTGGAGTCAGGAGGCCGTGGCAGCCACACCACAGTGTGGCTCCAGACACGATTCTGTGGACGGATTCCAGGATTCCAGACAGATTAAATCTCCGTGGAATGATGAAAATTAAAATTTACTTGATTATGGAAGTCTCTGATTTATTCCAGCCAAAATATTAAATGAGCCACTAAGAATCACCACAAAGCAATCGCCAGGGTGGCGGCACAGCAGAAGGACAGGTGCCCAGGCCGGTGGCTCTAGCTCTTCACCTCTGCGACCTCCTTCTCTGCCTTCTCTTTGGCCTTCTCCTTCTCCTCCACCTTCTCCTCTTTTTCCAGTGTTGCTACAATCTCGGCCACCTGGCTGGTGGAGATGTGAACATCTTCTTTGTCCACCAGCTCAATCACCTACACACATGGGAAAGGGAGAGGCTCAAGTGGCTGCACCCTGCAGCACAGTGAGGCGGGGCGGGTGGCAGCAGCATGCATGCAACCGCTGCCTGTGGGCCCCGGGGTCCTCAGAGCACCAGTTCCCCCAAGGGGGGCCACAGGCCCTGGGGAAGGGGCTCAGAGAGTGGGAGGACAAAGGAGCCAGGGGGCTGCCTTGGCAGGTGGCAGATAGCACAATGGGGCTGCCAGGGTTCAGTTCCTGCTCTGGTCGGGAACCTGGGCCATGGCTTCTCAGGGCAGAGTATGGTGACATGCAGGGACTTTGTCCCCATTCTGCCACCCAGAGCAGCAGGGAAGGGAAGGGCAGCTGTGCAGTAGATATCGGATCCTTGCTTCCAAACTGAACTGCAAGGAACCAGCCAATGTTCCTGATAGACGTTTAGAAAACCACTAACCTGAACCAGCCAACGCTTGTGATAGATGTCTGGAAAATCACTAACCTGACACATGCACTGGGAGCCACGAGGCAGCTTCCCCTCAGAGATGTCAGTGATTGGGAAAATTGGCGTCCGCACTCAGGCTACAGCCCTGCCTTCCCTCCAGAGACTGGATCTTGGGCCAGGGTCTCCCGGGTTACCCTGGAACCTGAGTGGCTGCACTTGGGAGCTCAGCCCAGCAGTCACCTCTCAGCCTCGGTGGCCCCTGGCAGGTGTGAGCTGTCCCCCGGCTCCCGAATGCAGACGCCTCTCAGTCTCGGGGGTCCCCGGCTCCCCAATGCAGATGCCTCTCAGCCTCGGGTGTCCCCGACTTCCCTACGCAGACACCTCAGCCTCAGAGGTCCTTGGCTACCCTATGCAGATGCCTCTCAGCCTCGTGGGACCCCAGCAGGTGTGAGCCGCCCCCCAGCTCCCTGTGCAGACACCTCTCAGCCTTGGGGGACCCTGGCGGCTATGAGCCGCCACCCAGTTCCCTGTGCAGTTGCCTCTCAGCTTCAGGGGCCCCTGAGAGGTGTTTGCCGCCCCCCGGCCCCCACTGTGCCACCAGCTGGGGGTGGGGTCCAGGGAGGCGCGTTGTGGTCACTCGGCGCGTTTGTTGTCTCAACACTTGAGTTTGTAACTTCAGTAATTTCTCACTTCTGATGTTTCCAATGAGAGCAGTGGCTTAAAGGAGCAGTCGCAGCGACAGACCCAAACCCGACAGGAAGGGGTAGCTGCCCAGGAGGGTGCCGGGCATGCAATGAACAGTCCTCCTGCCCCGCCCCACCCCAGAGCAGGTGGCAGCTGGCCCGCGCGGTCCGCAGTGAGGCCCACCTTGACAAGGTCGTCGATGTTGACCTTGCCGTCCTTGTTTTCATCCAGTGCTGCAGCCAGGCTGGTGAGCTTGCTTTCAGGAATGTGCTTGACTTGCTTCATGGCACTGATGAGCTCGGCGACACTGATGACGTTCTCCCTGTGGAAGCATAGCCTGCATGTGGCCACGGGCAGGTGTCCTGCTACACGGGGCCTCACTGCCCACACCTGTGGCTGCAAGTGGTCAGCACTGACACAGGCAGCTCCACGTGAGCCAGGAAACCCCCAAGGTATGATCCCATCCTGAATACACTGCCAAGAGCTCCCAGAGCCAGCCTGGACACAAACACAGAAACACCACCGGGTCCAGGGTTTCCACGGGCATGTCTGCCCCTCAGTGGCCACCCCTCCGGGGCCATGGCTGCTGGGCAGTGGTCCTCAGGCCTGTGGCCACTTGGCAATACTTTCATGATCATGGAGGCTGTGGTGCTCTAGGCAGATGAGGGCCTCCAAGAGCAGGGACAAGAGCATGAGCAGGGTGCCACAGGCAGCCTGCCTATAACGCTGTGGGGGTGGGGTTGGAGATTTGGAGCCTGCAGGGCACCAGCTGTTGCCCAACAGCTGTTTCATTCACCCAGAAGGGACTCACACAACGGCAGCTCCCTCAGCCACTGCTGCAGCAATCTGGGACATGTCGGGCAAAGAGAAGGCCGACTGCCGGAATTGGTGTCATTACTGAGTGTGGGTGGGGTCAGGAAGAGGGAGAGGCAAGAGAGAGCCTGGTAATTCGAGGAAACAGAAGCCAAGAGAGGCGGAGGCTGGAACAGGAGGGGAGAGGGCTGTGGGAAGAGGAAGAGGGGCCAGGAAGGGAGGAACTGCTCTCAGAGAGGCAGAGACTGAGATGCCAGTGGGTCCCTGGCTGGGACTGCTGGGTCAGAGGAGGAGAGGCAGCTAGGCAGAGGCCAAGATGTGCCCTTTGGAGCCAGAAGGGCCCAGCTTGGATCCAGCAAAGGGACCAGGCATCCTACGTGAGTCTCCCATCCCTCTCCCACGCCCGCCACCTCACTCACCCCGTGGGCATGCCGCTGGCTGGGGCCAGCTTGCCAGCTTGCTGGTCCATCTCCAGCTGCGAGATCAAGCCGTCAATCTGCCCGATCATCTGCTGCACCCTTTTTGTCAGTCTCTTGCTGGCTTTAGATTCTTCCACGTATTTTTCTTCACCAGTCTTTGAAAGCTCCTTCTTGATCTCCTGCAAGTCCTAATAAAATTATTTTAGTTGTAAAAAGTTTGTCTTAAAAGAAAAAGGGGGCCAGGTGCAGTGGCTCACGCCTGTAATCCCAGTACTTTGGGAGGCCAAGGCGGGCAGATCACCTGAGGTCAGGAGTTCGAGACCAGCCTGGCCAATGTGGTGAAACCCCGTCTCTACTAAAAATACAAAAATTAGCTGGGCATGGTGGCAGGCGCCTGTAAACCCACTTACTCGGGAGGCTGAGGCAGGAGAATCGCTTGAAGCCAGGAGGCAGAGGCTGCAGTGAGCTAAGACCATGCCAACGCACTCCAG